TTCCTCTATAGCTGATGGTACATTGTGCTGTATATTATACATGGGAATACAAATCCCAGCAATACATTATACACTGTATGTATAATGTACTATTGCTGGGATGTGTTGTACTCCTCTATAGCTGGTGGTATTCTTCAGTGCGCTGTATAGAGTACAACAAATCCCAGCAATAGTACATTATACAGCGCAACACAGAATACCGGCAGCTATAATATACTATTGCTGGAGGTATTCCGCATTGCGCTGTATAATGTATTATTGCTGGGATTTGTAGTCCTCTATAGCCGGTGCCATTCTGCATTGATTGCTGTATAATTTTACACTTTCCATTTCACTATATTGCACACCACACTTTTGTTCTTCCACCGCTCCAAGCTTGCTGCTCCTATGATGGACTACAATCTCAATACAAACTAGTAGTCCATCACTGGAGCCATTTTTTTTTTAATCCCGATCAACCGGTTAATTTAACTTAATAATCGGCTAACTAATCGATTTTGAAAATAATCGCTTGCTGCAGCTCTAGATAAATGGTCACCCTACACCAGGGATCCCCCACTAACCAACAGGGATCCCCCACTACCCACCAGGGAGCCCCCACTGGCCACAGTGGAGCCCACACTACCCACCTGGGAGCTACGACAGAGCCGCCACTGCTGCACCCACACGCACCCGTGAAACTCTCTGGACCCCTGGTGAGAGCCCGCACAACCCTCCTGAGACCCCGGAGACATCACGTGGAGAACCCAGAGCAACACAGAGTATGTCACTTCATATTATTCTGCATTGCTGTAATATATATTGCTGATATTTGTAGTTCTCTATAGCTGACACTGTTCTGCATTGCTGTATAATGGTATTGCTGGGAATTGTTGTTCTCTATAGCTGTTGGTAGTCATTATTGCTGGGATTTATAGTCCTCTATAGCTGATGGTATTCTGCATTATTGTGTAATCTATTGCTTGGAATTGTAGTTCTCTATAGCCAATGCCATTCTGCAATGCTGTACAATGTATATCTGAGATGTATAGTCCTCTATAGCTGGTGGTATTATTCTGCATTGCTGTATAATGTGTTGCTGAGATTTGTAGTCCTTCTACAGCTTGGAGTTAGTGGCAGAACTACCAGGGTCGCAGCAGTCATATACGCGCATGGCACTGACGAGGCATCCCTCCACTATCAGTGTGCTATAATTTTCCTCAACCCATACTCTACCACGTCTCTTCCAGGTGTGCATGTAATGAAGAAAGGGGGTCATGAAAACAGCTGATTCGGATGACTCGGCCCCGCTGGGAGTGACACAGTCGAGAAAATGTATAGGATCGAAAAATTATAGAACACTGACTTTGACACTGTCCGGCCCCTCCCACTAACCTCCCACAGCTCACAGGCCAGGAGCATGGACAGCCAGCGGCGGCCTACAGTGGGTGAGAGTGCCTAAGTAGTGGACATGGAGCAGAGTAAGGCCAGAACCATGTAGGGAGCCCAGTGGGAGGAGAACACCATCCCCTAGCCAGTCGTCCCTTTCAAGGACTTACTAGGAGTCCTCACATCACCCGACCATTCACACTACCGTTACATGGATGGCAAAAGTGGCAGACGGACGGGGAGAATGCGGGGACGCGAGGCAGAGCGGGAGGGGGGCCAAGTTGCTGCACCATGGGCATCTGGGTTGTACTTGCCCCCTGGGCTAAAAGTTGGCAGTCAGCCCCTGCTGTGAAGCCAGTGTTCTATCGAAAGAACACCGGCTTCAGAGGCTGCCTGGCTTCCTGACCAATCAGGAAGCCGGGAGGTGAGTTATGAGGTACCATCCGCTTTCCTGATTGGTCAGGATCCAGCTTCCTGATTGGCTAGGAAGCCAGGCTGCCTACCAACAAGTGAATCTGGCTTCTTAGCCAATCAGCAAGTCAGGTGGCACGTCGTGACCCACTTCCCGGCTTCCTGATTGGCTAGGAAGCTGGGTTCCCTTTTTCCTAGGCAGCCTGGCTTCCTGACCAATCAAGAAGTCCGGAGGCGGGCCATTACCAGCTAGAAAACATTTCATGATCCTATACTCTACTTCCACGGAATGTCATGACCAAAATAAAATAGACCATAGACAGGTGGATGTAACATTCATATGTCTTTAGAAACCCAATAATGCCTCTTACATATCTCAGGTTCTAGCATGTTCTCCCCTTTACTTTCAGATGGAGTGGTGAAGGGTTACAGGGTTTTTTGTCTCCATAAGGGTCCCTCCCTTCTTGTTTGGTCACCTGTACATAAATGAAGGGGAAGTTTCCCCAATGGGGACACAGTAAATAGGAAAAACCCAATCTATTCTAAACAAAGGAAAGATTTGGCTGGAGTTCCAGTGTAGAATTTTCAGCCTTCAGCATCAGTATTTTTGGAGACTCTTTGATCGTACTCTGAATTTTTATCTTACAGTACAAACATTTGCACTTAATAACCTGGAG